CTTGGCTTCCCCATCCCGGGGCCGAGGCCAGTCCGGGCTGGAGGCGGGGGCCACTTTCTCACCCCCTCCCTGCGGGGACAACCCTGCGCGGGGCCGCGGGTCGGGCCCCGGGGGCGGCCGCTGCCCCCGTCCGGCCGCGGTGCCTGCCCAGCACCAGCAGCGGCCCTGGGGAAGGCGAGACAAAAGTCCCAAATGAGCTGGTCAAACATTTGTACAACTTTTCCAGCTTTTACAAAGAAGGCCTTCTATACACAATCTACACTTGGAGATGAACTTGGAAAACAAAGAGGGGGGAGTCCATTGAAACTCACACTTTGGCTTTGCACAGACAAAGCTTCAGCTCGCAGCAGCTTGATGTGAACAAAGGCAGGCAACCTTTTTATAATTCAAGGAGAAAAGAAGAGAAAACAGCCCCACAAAAGGCCCAGAAAAGACATTATGGGCTTGCAATGAGGGATGAATTATTCAAGGAGCCCCTAATAGCCAATGCTCCACGCAGTTTTATGGACTCTCCACCGTGGAAAAAAAAGTGGTTGTTTTCACCTACAAAAGGTTTCTAGCATTTCTAGGCATCTAGAGATGCTGATAGCTGTTCAAGGAGGATAGTTGAAACCCATCCATTAAAACGGGGCATCCCTTTGTGTCAGGGCAGCTCAAAAATTCTCTCAAAAGTCAGTTTTCAGCTCTGCTACTAGGGCTTTAGGGAAGCATCCTCTTCAGCGTGTCTGTGTTTGTACAGAAGAGGCATGGGCACCCTGAAGATGTTCCCGGGACAGAACTCTTAAGGGCAGAGAGAAGCAGTCCGGTTGCTCCACTCGTCCTCCTCCATGTGACAAGTCACAGGAGTTTGCCCAGCACCTCCTGCAGCAGAGAGCTGCTCTCTGGGGGAGGGCTGCTCTTCTTCCTGGGAAGGGCATTCAACAAGGGGAGAAATGGCTAAATTTGGAGCCCAAGTTGTTAAAATAACCAGCTTTTCTACCTCCCATGAATTTCTGAACAGAGGCTTAAAAAGAGAACATAAGAAGACATGATAATATCCCTGCTTTATGGAGCAAAGAGTAAATAAATAGAACAGGGGAGGAAAATATAAATATCTTGCTGCTTCTTTTCCCTGAAATATTCTTCATGTCTTTTATCTCTCTGCTCCTTAAAACTGGCAACCTAATTTACTGCAAATGAGTCTCTGCTCCCTTTCCTCCTCTCCATCCCCTCTCCATCCCGTTACCTGCCGCTCTCTGGAACGACCTGTTTCACTTGCTCCAGATTAAAGCGCTAGCGAAGGGCCCTTGCCCAGAGTGGGGAGGACAGCCCTGTCTCCCGTTGTCCCCGAGCTCTCCCTGCACCGCAGGGACATGTCGAGGCCACTCTGAGCAAACGGCAGCAAATTCGGTGTGTTTCCTGGGGAGGTGGGATGCTCAGCAGGAGCCTCTCCCTGTGGCGGAGATGCTGGAGCGCTGCTGCTTCGCATGGTACCCACGAGCAGTTTCTGAGAGTGTTTCCAGTCCTGGCAACTTCTCTCCCTGGTCCATGGGGACCAAGTGGCCCAGACGCTGGGAGTGCCTTGCCAAGGGCATTTCGGTTATTCTGGAAGACCTAGAGCATTATTTTCCCGGGGATAGGAGGATAGATAACAGCCATTCTGGTACTGACGGCAGATGATTCCAGCTTCTTGGAGACTTGGGATCTTGTGAGTACTTGCGGCAGAGGGGGATAAGGGAAAAGAGATAATACGGTATTGTTAAAAAAATGTGCAATGGAAACAGTACACTGTGTGCCTTGGGATTTTTTGCCTGTGATCACTATGTATAATTTTAATACGTATTTATGTAATTCTGTATTTATTCGTATAGTTATATACATATGAGCAAGCAGGGGCTGGAGGTGCCTGTGTGCCCAGTACGCTGCGCTGTGCCTCAGCATCACCCTCTGCCTGCTTCAGGGCAGAGCTTAAAGGAGAGTGGAACCGGTGCAAGTGGATACGAGCCCGGCTCCAGCTCCGTGCGTCTTCCCGGGACGCATCCCGAGAGACACGAGCGAGCGGAGGGGAGGCCTCCGCGCGTCCCGAGCGGAGGCAGCGGCAGGGGCAGCGGGGGGCGAGGGGCCGGG